GGATAGCAGCAGCAAGCTGTACCTGCCAGTCAGGCATGCGATCAAAGGGTAAACAGCCAGCACTACAGTGTACTGTGTTGCCAAACTTTTTTCGAATATTGAGTTTTATGTTTTTATATCCCATCATGTCTACAAAATGCCCATCTGTGACTCCTGCTTCTGGTAAGAAGAAAGACAATTACCAAGCGTTCTGAGCACATGTAAGGTAGGCTAGGCTAAGCTATGGTGTTTGGTAGGTTAGGTGTAGTAAGTGCATTTTAACTGATCATATTTTTAACTTACAGTGGGTTTATCAGGACATAACCTTGTTGTAAGTCGAGGAGTATCTGGAGCAGGAAGACTTGACCAATTCTATAAATGAATTCAAAAGAATATTTTTCTGCCTGTAGATAGAACAGGACACAGAGCAACAAGCATTTTACTGAACAAGATTGTTCCGTGCCTAAAGATCTCAAGGTTTGGTTTTGTTGTAAGCTATTATAGAGAGAGATGAGATAAGACTACAACAAAACAAGTCTCATCTCTCATAAGCCAGGAATGTCATATATGCCCAATTTCAAAGGCTTCTTACCATTTCCTAATATGAGCTAGCCTGAACATCTTAGGGCACCTAAGACTGCTGCTCCTATCTCCAGCCCTTAAAGACACACTTTTCCCAAATACTTTTACCCCTTGCTGTTACTTTTTTCTCTCCCTGAATGACCTCATTATTCCCCACAGCTTTTACTGTCGTCTGACTATCGATGACTCCTAGTCAGTAGCACTAGCTCTGACTGTGTGATGGACATCCACCATCCTTCCAGCCAGACTCAACACCCTTCCCTCCTGCTTCACTCCTAGCACAGACTTTCTCTTTCTACTCAAAGCACTACCTCACAGTAACATTGTTAAATAAATACAGTGGGAAATTTTGCCCCCCCCCCCATGATGTTTTCAACTTTTGAATTCTATGATATTAATTTTGGAATGTGTGTGTGTGTTTAAATTGTGTCAGACATCCTTAGGAAAAGACAAGGTAAAAATAAATTAAACTATTAATTCTTAGGTTATTATTACCATGGTCTCTCAGACTTGAAAATTGAGTCTCAGTTCATTGCTGAGTGACACAGACTTTGCCTTTAAGGTATCTCTCAATCCTCTCTCCTTTCTTCATTCCTACCATCATTTCCCTCGTTCAAATCTTTCTGTCCTCTTACGTCCTAGCTGGTGTTCCCACTGACACCTCTCTCCCTTCAATCCATTTTGCACAAACTGCCAGATTCACTCCCTGGAAGCTGAGCACTGGTCAAGTCGTTCTACTGCTCAAATGTCTAATGGGTCTGCATTCACTAGTTATTATAATCCCCCTGGCACACCTGGCCAGTATGGCTCAGTGGTTGAGCACCAACCCATGCACCAAGAGGTTGCTGGTTCCATTTCCACTCAGGGCACATGCCCAGGTCATGGGCCCAATCCCCAGTGGGGGGGCATCCAGGAGGCAGCCAATCCATGTTCTCGCTCATTGATGTTTCTATCTCTCTCTCCCTCTCCCTTCCTGTCTCTAAAATCAATAAAGAAAAAAAAAATTTTTTTTTAATCCCCCTGGCACACAGAACTCTTAACAATGTGGCATACCCTATCCCCATTCAGTTTGTTTGTCACTAATGTCCTTCATATATGCTTGCTTTTACCCAAAAGGTTGCTCAGGTCCTCCAGATACGCTCTGAGCTGTTTTGACTCAACTCCTTGCTCAATTATTCCCTCCTAAAATGCTCTCCTCTAATCCATCTCCCACATCTTGAGGCACTTTCAATCTTTCAGTGACAATCTCGGTTCATTTCAAAGGTTGCCTACTCCCTATAGAATACAGGCCAAAGTCCTCGTAATGAGGAAGAGCCCTCCGTTGTCTATCTCATCCAGACAGACATTTCTGGTCATGTTATCACCCACAGGCAGTGCTACCCTTAAATCCAGACAAAAAGGACCCTGCCTTGGCCACATTCTTTTTTGTTTTTTTTATCGTCACCGGAGGACATTCCCCCATTTTTTGTTCAGATAGAGTGGGAGGGAGAGAGAGGAAGAGAGAGAGAAAGAAACATCAGCATAAAAGGGACACATCAAATGGCTGCCTCCTGCATGACCCAACCAGGACCAGGGACAAACTGCAACTGAGGTACGTGCCTCTAGTGGGAACCAAACCCTGGTCCCTCTGGACCACAGGCTGACCCTCCAACTGCTGAGCCAAACCACCCAGGGCTTGGCCACATTCTTTAGGGCAACTCTGGGCCTCTTTCTACTGTACCATGCTGTACGGGACTAATGTCACCTAGAGTTCATTCTGCCCCCGCTTTTAGACCATCGTCCAGGTAATAGGACCCTAAAATGCCTTGCCCAAATGGCCCCTCACTTACTCCCAGAGTTGGTAAGAGTCTCTTTCCCAGATCACCTTTGTAAGGGAAAAGCACACACTGAGGCCCAACGGTGGTAGCGAAGGGATAGCTGTTTGCAGGGAGGGGCCAGAGTTGTCCATGCAGGCTGCCATACCCACGCACCTGCCACACCCACACTGTGTGGGCTGGGGACAGGCTCTCTTCACCACCTCGCTCCAGCGTGAACTCCAAGAATCCCAAGTATTCTTCCTTCTAATACCTTATAAAGGTATATTTGTTAAGGAGGAAGGATAAAACATTTTATTAATTTGTTATTTTTATTTTTAAACTTTTGCATATTAAGCATATGATATGTGGGCCTCCATTTGTTATTCTTACCCAATGGCAAAGGCAGGCCTGCTCCTAGGGGGCCTGTTAACCACACCAAGTATTTGCAGTTCTGTGTTGCCTTGTCTTTCTCACACATCAGCTACATTGCACAGGATATTCTCTCCGTTTATAATGCCCGAGAGTCTCCATGTACTTGAAGCATCCTTCACAAAGTTGAAAGGTAAAAATTGCCACCATTGTCACTATTTTTTAATATTGCTCTGGAATTATTAGCCAATACTAGTGGACAAGAGAAAAAAAGGAAAGATACTCTATAGAAATGAGGGAGGAAATTCATATCTTTCTATATTATATAAATTTGCATTTGAAAAACCCAAGCGAACCAACTAAAAAATATCTTTAAATGATGGGAAACTATAGTAAAGAAAATAGTTAGAAAATTAAGTTATAAAAATCAATGACTTTCCTATATATAAAGAACACTTAACTCACAGAATGAAAAATAAGTAAATTTTATTTATAATAGTTACAAAAAGATAAAATACCTGTGAATAGACTAAAAAAATGTAGGATGTTTATCAGTAAAGTTTAAAGAAAACTTTAAAACTCTATTTAGGAAAGTCTTTAATGAATTAAATACATACCCTCATAGAAAAGAGGATCCAATTGCAGAGATATCAGTTCTCCTCAAGTTAACATACTGATTCAGTGCAGTAGCATTTAAAACACAAACAGGGCTTGGGGAGGTAGAATTTGATAAAATGCCAAAGTTCATCTGGAAAAATACACATGTAAGAATAGTCATAAAATTTGCCACCAGATATTAAAATCAGTTATGTATCTATTTTATTTAAATGTGTGGCCCTTGTTCTAGAGGAGACTGCAAAGAAAAGGAACTGACCCAACAAGCTGTGTTTGACTATATGACAGGACTGGAGTTTTAAGTCAACAGAATCACCTAGAGATGATTTCACAATCAAATGGCATTAGCACACCTGGCAAGCTATTTGGAGCAATAAATAAAAAGAGTGGATTACCTTCCTCCTTATATCAAAATTAAACTCCAGCTACATTGAAGATTGTAATGTAAACATGAAGTCCAGTAATGCTCTAGAATAAAACAAGAAATATATATATATTTTTTATCCTCACCCGAGGACATTTTTTCCACTTTTTGTTCAGATAGAGTGGGAGGGAGAGAGAGGAAGAGAGAGAAAGAGAGAAACATTGACGTGAAAGGGACACATCGAGTGGCTGCCACTTGCACGACCAACCAGGGCCAGGGACAAACTGCAACCAAGGTACGGGCCCTTAGCGGAAACTGAACCCGGGTCTCTCTGGACCGCAGGCCGACGCTCTAACCCCTGAGCCAAACCAGACAGGGCTAAAACAAGAAATATTTTAAAAATAATTTTAAAGTGAAGCAAGTTTATTCAACCATATCAAAAAGATCAACATTTGAAAAGAAAAAGACATATATTTGGCATCAAAACATTTAAAATTGACTGTATGGCACAAATAGAAATCATCATACCAACATTAACTGTCAAACTAAAACAATTCACAATGCATATATCTGATTCCTTAACAAAGAGCCTCTTTAAATAAAGTGTTTAGAAGACCAACAACATAATAAAAAATTAGTAAAGGAACTGAACTGACCCATCATACACTTGCAGCCCTGGCCAACTAGCTCAGTTGGTTAGAGCATCCTCATGATGTGCCAAGGTTGTGGGTTTGATCCCCGGTCAGGGCACATACAAGAATCAACCAATGAATATATAAATAAGTGGAACAACAAATTAATATTTCTCTCTCTCTCTCTCAAATTAATAAATAAAAAATAAAAACAATTTTAAAAAATGAAATGCACATGCAAATAATTATTTGACAAAATGCTAACCCCTACTCATAATTGTTTTAAAACATACAAATCAAGAGGACATGAGTTGCCAATATTGACCCTCACAGTGGCAAAGGTTTAAACTTTGATAAAACTGGATTGGTAACAAAATCAAATTCTTGTATATATTGTTGGGAGTTTAATTTGTGCAACTTACTGAAGGTCAATTTGTCAGTCTCCATCAAAAGAGACAATAAATGAGCCCAGACTTTTCTGAGTCTGTTTTAGCAGAATAAAGCCCATTGGCTAATGACAGCCTTTAACTATTGGGAGTATGAAACCCGATTTTTGTCATGGGTACTGGAACAAAGAGGTAAGAAGCTTTTGTTGTTAAGTATCTAATCACTTACTAAAATACTAAGCCGTATTTTTTTCTTTTTCCAACAAGAGAGAACAAAATGGCCAGAGGCAATCGTACCACAGTGACAGAATTTGTCCTCATGGGATTCACAGACCATCCAGAGCTTCAGCTTCCGCTCTTTGTGGTGTTCCTGTTTGTTTATCTCAGCACCCTGGTGGGAAATCTTGGCATGATCCTACTCATCGAGGTGGATTCCAGGCTCCACACCCCCATGTACTATTTCCTCAGCCATCTGGCATTCATTGATCTTTGTTACTCATCTTCCATTGGGCCCAAGATGCTGCAAAATTTACTGGCGAAGAAAAAAACCATCTCCTTTTTGGGCTGTTTTGCCCAGCTGTACTTCTCCAGTGCTTTTGCCACGACCGAATGCTTCATCTTGGCCACAATGGCCTATGACCGCTACATGGCTATCTGCAACCCCCTGATTTACACAGCCATCATGACTCAGCAGATCTGCAAGGAGTTGGTGATAGGGGTCTATACCTATGGCTTCCTCAACTCTGTGATACAGACAGTTATGACTTTCCAGTTGTCATTCTGCAACTCCAACATCATCCATCATTTCTACTGTGCTGACCCCCCTCTCCTTGCCCTCTCCTGCTCCGACACCCAGAACAAAGAAAAGCAGCTCTTGATCTTCTCGTCGGTGAACCTCACTGGGTCCCTCCTGACCATCCTCATCTCCTACATTTGCATCCTCTTTTCCATCATAAAAATGCAGTCTTCTGAAGGCAAGTGCAAAGCATTTTCTACCTGTGCCTCCCACCTCACTGTGGTCATCATCTTCTATGGGACGCTGTTTTTCATGTACCTGCAGCAGCCTAGAGGAAGGAGTTCATGGAAGTACAACAAATTGATCTCCGTGTTTTATACTCTTGTAATTCCCATGCTCAACCCCCTAATCTATAGCGTTAGGAACAAGGATGTAAAGGACACCCTGAAAAAGATGATAGAGGGCAAAGAGTCAGTGTGAGTTAGCAGAGTGTAGACCTGGTATGACCAATCTGCTTGAAATGTGGAAAGCCAGTTGCTATCCAATCAGGAATCAAATAGTCAACCCAATTTGGATTTTTAAGTGACCAACAGTACTAGGCCACTTGCTTGACATAGTAATACTTAATCCAATCAATTAGCATGGGCTAATCAGAACTTACAAGCTAGACTGTGAATAACTATGTCCTTCATATGTTGAAAATGAAGTGACTTACTACCAGTTAGGTAATAATATAAGCTCCAAAAACAAAAAGATTTTTAAAAGCATCTTTCTGGGTGAAACCATAAGTTAATGAAGCTGGGTGCAAAACCCACACATGAATACCTATGTTGTTAGAAACATTTTCCAGCTTAAAATAGACTATATTGTAGTAAATCATTTGCTAGTCTTAAAAATACATTTCTGTATCATATATTGCTATAGATGTAGGTTAAGTTTCATAAAAAGCTTATTTAATCTTAATGTAGTTGAAATACTGCATGCTTAATATGAACAAAAGAAAAAATAGTATTACAGCAATCAAAAGGGAAGAAAAAATTTTAAAACTATGAATTAGTTAAATTTGAGGGTTATTTTATTGTTTGTTTAGAAAAGAAAGTTTAATATTAAGAGATAGAGAGGGTTCAGGGTACTTGCAGAGATATTGAAAGTGGTCATTTATTCAACAGCCAGGGTTTAGTTTTTCTAGTCTCTGGAAAGCGCAGTTACAGTGATTTTTAGGGGGGAGGATGAGAGAGAGAGAGAAGGAAGTCATACATGAACTTAGAAAGGGAAAGAGCTGAGAGCTTCCTGAGGCTTCCAGACCAAGCATGCATGTTTCTGAGAAACGAAATTATTGTCTTACACCATATGGATGACCTAGAAAAATACTTCTGTTTTGCAACATTTTCTGTTTTCTCAGATCTGATATGACAACTTTCTTGGAGTTATATCTATACAAGTCCTTACTGTTTGTGGGGACAGGTAAAAGAAAATCTCTTATTTTTTTTTACTTAAGCAAGAATATAAGCACTCAATTCTAATACTTCTTTTAAAATAGTTCTTAAGCCCGGCCAGTGTGGCTCAGTGGTTGAGTGTTGAGCCATGCACCAAGAGGTTGCCGGTCCAGTTCCCAGTCAGGGCACATGCCCAGGTTGTGGGCCCGATCCCCAGTGGGGGGCATGCAGGAGGCGGACAATCAATGTTCTCTCTCATCAATGTTTCTACCTCTCCCTTCCTCTCTAAAATCAGTAGAGAAAAAAAAATAATTCTTAAAACACATACATTTGCCATAAGCCATTAGGTTTTCCCCTTAAACTTTTTCAAGTGTGATGCTAGTTTGACTTATTCTTTTTAATGGCTAAGAACATATATCACCAATTGACTACAAATAAGTTCAAAATTAATCAAGAAACTAAGGAGTGCTTTTTGCCCCCTAATTAACTCTTTAGATAATATGATGGGATCTTTGTTTTATTGCTGCTTGTAATCCAGTGATTTAGAAAGTCAAATCTTTATAACCTCTCTTATTTAGTTCAGAAACCTTTCTGGAGAGTTCAGTGACAAAAACTTTATTCCTAAACTCTTGGGGATGGGACGTTGGCTGTGGTCAGAAGGAAAGAGTATCGGAGGAACAGAGTGAGGAAAGGCAAGGAGCAAACCCTGCAGGTGGGAGAGCTGGTACAGGTAAGAAGGCAGAGTGGGGAGCACAATGCTGACGGACAGTGTGAGACAGATTGTTAGACCGCCAGCTCCTTGAGACAGCAGGTCATCACTCTGCACCCAGGACCTACCACAGCTCCCGGCACAGAACAGACACGTCACAACTGTTTGCTGAACTGAACTGAACTCTTCTGTTTTCGTTCCTAATTCCAGTGGAGAGGTGGACAGGGTGCCCAGTAATGGCCCTGTGTTGGAAAGTGAGAGAGAGAGAAGGAAGTTACTAGGGTCGTGACAGGAAGACTGGTTTTCAGTATCCCAACCAGATTAACATGCTTGAGGCAGGAAGACGTGTGAGGGCTACAACACAACCTGGCCCGGGAAAGAGAGGCCTCTGGGAAGTTGGTATGTGATTGGAAGATGGGAGCAGAGCTGTGGATGGACCATGGCAGGCCGGGGACCGTTACTCTGCTGAGATAAAGAAAGTGAGCAGGTACTAACTCTTAGATGTGAAATTATATTTTCAATAAAAAGACATTGTCATTACTTAAATTCTTCTCAAACTATTTCCACGTCAGTTGAGCTTAGAAAGAGGAAAAAAAAAAAAAAAGTAGCGTTCACATGTTTTAGTACATGCCTCTCAGCAAAGGAATTATGCCCATGTTTTTAAGGAAATATTTGTTCTAAGAGTACACTTCATCATTTCTTCAGTTTGTTTTAGAGGAAACTGATAAAATAAAGTCAAGGGACCTCTCCATAATGCCCACCCAACAGTTGAATGTATATAATTTGTTCTGGGTGCTTCCTTGATTTTCTGTAAAGCAAAGTAGAAAATTAAGAATATTGTATTTATAGATTATGGAGGATATAAGTCCATGTTATCCTAAATTTCCCAAAGACTTATAAAGCAAAGAGAGGTATAGGGAAGGATCTGAACCAGTTAAATTTTAGGCTAATATTTTCTATTTCTTTCTCATTAGGGCTCCTCAGTCTTATAATATATCTCCCTGATTTGGCTCTTATAATAAGTAAGAAAAGTATCCAATCAGTTACTTACATTGTTAAAAATGTATGCTCCACTATACATATGTATAGCATTAAAATGACAATATTTAAGCAAGAATAGAAACCGACATGATTGTGCATCTTTGTTCACTTATAAAGTGAGACTGTGTCTGTCAAAACTCATAACAATTATACTAGTTTTTCACCCCAAAATAAACAAATGTATTGTGAATAAGTGAATGTTACCAAAATAATAAAAATTTTACCATTATCAGATTTTAAAAGCTCAATATTTCATTGAGAGTGAAAATAAAACTGCTGCACATTTAAATGAAATGAATGGTATTCGCCAGCATTCACCACATAGATAATTCCACTAAAATAATCTAATAAACATATGAAATACGTTTGTATAAATTTATTCTCATTTGCACATAAAATTCTGGATTTTTCAATCAGCTTAAATTTAAATTCTCATTCCTCCTTACTCAAGACTCTCGATTTGTCATGCTCAGAAACAGGCCAGAAGGATTTGTGATGATGTTGGTCATCAAAAAGGCAACACGAGAGGACAAATATCTATTCATTTTCTTCCAAAGTATTTGATGTATGTAAGCATTTCAGAAAATATATCTGAAATGTGTGCGCCCCAGATTTTCAACTCTGCCCTGGATGGATGGTTCTAGCATTCTTTGGAGAGCAAGGTGGAATGGGAAAGTGTTAATTAAGTGCTAAGTATGGCTCCTGGCTGCAATTAAGTGGTGCATCCACCAGAGAGATAGGGAGCCCCAAATGTCAGAAGTTGGGGGATTTAGGCTCCTGGGAAGGTAACAGATTCAGCTTGTTCTTCCAAGCTCTTCTGTTTTTGCTGTAAAAATGCAAATATGTTATAAATAACTAGAACTTCCATCTCTAATGAGATAAGCAAGTTGGAACAAGGAAAAGGTAATCTTTATTTTTAAAAAAGTAAATAATTATCTCTTACTTCATTGAAACAGTTCAACTGTCCTAACAGACAGTTTCTAGGTTTTATTCTGAGGTCTGAAATAACATATTTTATTCCTACAAGCTCACTTTCTTTGCTTAGGTGTGTTGACCATTCTAGCACCTGGACCCCTACCAACCTGCAGCTTCTGGCCCCCTTACAGACACCCTGTGTGCTGACCACATGGACTTGGAGCAGAGCTAAAATAACGGGCTAGCCGGGTCCAAGCACTGCTCAGCCCACCTCAGGGTCACCCTCAGCCAGGGACGCTACAGGACCGCGAGCTTCTTAGACCTGGGCAAGCATAGGGCGAGCTCCTAAGTCCATCTCTGGGTTTCCCACAGAAGGTTTTTATTCCATTTTTATTGTCTTTCCTCTTTAAAAGAACCATTTTTAACTCTTCTTGTCCCTATCATCTGTTTCATCTGAAAGCTGATATCATGAATAGTATATTACTTATTGTCCGCCTTAGCAAAAGTAGCAACTAGATCTCCTAGTAGCCACTGTGTCTCAGTGGTTGGAGTGCTTTGCACTGAAGGGTCATGGGTTCAATTTCTGGTCAAGGGCACATACCTGGGTTGCAGGTTCGATCCCCGGCCCCAGTCAGGGTGCGTGTGCAGGAGGCAACCATTCGGTGTGTCTCTCTCACGTCCATGTTTCTCTGTCTCCCTCTTCCTCTCCCCTCCCCCATCCTTCCTCCCTTCCACTCTCTCTAAAATAAAAATATCCTCTGGTGAGGATTAACAACAACAACAAAAAAGTGATAACAGAGCAATAAATTGAAAGGAAACTCTAATGTTATATTGGGGGTCATTTTTATAAAGAAATGTTTAAAAACACCTGTCACAATTATTAGACTGTTTCCCTCTTACCTTTACCACGAATCACAGATGGGCCCGAACGTAGTCACAGGCACAGATAACCCTCGGCTTTCAGCTGAGGGCACAGTTCTCTACTCTACTTGAACTAATTAGCTGTCAAAACACTGTCCAATAAGCTTTTATCTCCTGGCCTGTTCATACCTCCATGTACATTACAATGTGAGCTTTATCAGAAGAAGTCTGTGCCTGTGTGATCACTTCACTGATCCTATAACTGACTTCTGGTAACATCTATGCATCCATATTTGGGACTAATAGACACCTGAATGCCAGGCAAGCGAAGTAAATCATGCTGAGCCTGAAAAATTGGTCTGGGAGGTGAAAATTTTTGCTTACAAAGAAAAAAATGTGGCCTCAAAAAACAGAGCCTCAATTCCTGCAGCTGTGCTGGTGGTGTAGTGAGGAGGGGAGACGGGATAGGGAACTCAAGGTCTTAGCTGGTGCCTTGTCCGTCCCAGCCTTAGCTTTTC